CTGCAAATGTAGTCAAGAGATTGGTGTATCTATAGCTTTACTTACCTTACAGTAAGTTGTGGTAGAAAACTACCAGAAGAGTAACCTTAAAGAAGATAAAAGAATGAAAAAAAGATGAAAGAATAATTTCCATTCAGATGGTTCTTTGGTGGTCTAATCCCTGGATGTATTCTCATAACTTTAAGAAGATAAATCTGCACTGGGAATAAAGCACAGGGGTTATGAAAGAATAATTTCCATTCAGATGGTTCTTTGGTGGTCTAATCCCTGGATGTATTCTCATAACTTTAAAGCAGTTTCTCATGTAAACTGAGATCCCATCTTTTCTTATTGCTAAGCCTTTAATTCAGTTTCTGCACTTGCACAACCGGTTTGTGTCCCTAATTGTTTCTCCACATCAGATACTCTCTGAAGAACTAGTGGAAAAAGCTTTAATTGTGATAAAATTGAATATATTCTAGGAATGTTTTCTTAAACTCATTAGGAAAAGAGGAAAACTTGTTTTCCTAAAAATTTCCCTTCTGCAGATGAGTACCTCCTCCATACGGCTGGTCAATAGCAGGAGGGCAGTGCTGATCTTCCAGCAGCACTGGATTTGCACTTCCCATACACCTGAATTCTTTGGTAAATGTAAAAGGTTATGTTAAGCCTATTTGGAAGAGTAAATATTCTCTCTCCTCTCTGGCTTCACTCCCCATAGTTTTGCCTTTTGCATTGAAACAAGATGCCCGTGTCTTTGGATGCTGATTTTCCCCAGACTGAGCTACTTATATGAACTGTTATTTGAATAAAGGAGACGTTTGGGACAATGGATGTTCAAAGGCACAGCATGATGACAGTTTCGTACAGTTTACTCAGCAGTTGGATACAGACTCAGGGGTGGATATTTTTCCTTTTTTATTGATGTTTTGTTATTAATACAGTCATCCTAAATATCCTCTGCCCTTTGTTTCCCCCTTTGGATTAGGGCATGGAGACATTTTTTCAAAGATTTTTTTTTTTCTCTTCTGCAGGGAGGGGGTTCCCTTTGTGGGTAGTTAATGGCTGGGGAGCTCAGCTGGAGGTTTTGCTCTCGGAGTGACTAAAGCTCTCTGCTTCCATGTCAAAGGAGACAGGTGCAAATTGATGGTTTAAACCCAAAGGAGCTGGCTGAGAGTCTTGCAGGTAACTCAGATGAATGAGTTACTCAGCTCATGCCAGCACCTTGTGCCAGTGACCCCTTATCTGCAGTGGGGGTTTTCTGCTGTCAGGCAGCTCCAGTTCACCCAGCAATCTGCATCGATCTCATATCTCCAGGGATGGTGGCCATTTTATTCCTCTTTTTTGAAGGTTCAAGATAGGAACAGGCTGCCCAGGGAGGTGGTGGAGGCCCCATCCCTGGAGACATCCAAGGTCAGGCTGGATGGGGCTCTGAGCACCCTGATCTGGTTCAGTATGTCCCTGCTCACTGCAGGGGGGCAGGACTAGATGGCCTTTAAAGATCCTTTCCAAGCCAATGCACACTATGAATCTATGATAAAGGCTCAAAGAAGTGGTAGGGCTGACAGGGACCATTTGCCTGGCCTTTGTTTCCTGGTCCAAATGTGGATTATTGTCCCGTACTAACCGGTAGTCACCGTTCCGAGGTGATGGTGGGGCACAGCCATCTGCAGCAGAAGGTGGGAAGGCTAATCTGCCCTGGAGGGTAGGACCACCTGCAGTGGCAGCTGGGGATGACAGCCTGTTGCAGCCTCGGTCATCTGTGTGCCAGAAAATCTCTGCTCTTGCATTACACCTTCCCCGCTTGCACAGTAAAGGTTTTTAGCTTGGCTTCAGGATACCAAGCATGGTCTTCTTAGAGTTGGGAAGGAGGGTGATTTGTACCTTTCTGATGTTATACAGCTCGCCCTTCACCCCAAGGGGAAGGAAAGGTGCTTCTTCCCCGCTCCAGTCCTCTGAGGAGTATTTCTGGGATTTTACCCTTTCATCTCCTTACGTTTTCCTCCATGAACATGGGTGGAGGAAACAGCACTGATGCTTATTTCTTCTTTGTGATTATTTCCCAGTGATTTTGGCAGCAGGGAAGGAAACAAATTCAAGGCACAAAGCATTCAAGAAGCTGGCATCACCAGGCTTTGGCTTTCTTTGTGGTCCCTCTGCATGTGGTGCTTCAGGATGCTTCAGCGTGGCGGATGACACCAAGCTGAGTGGTGCAGCTGGTATGCTTGAGGGAAGGGATGCCATCCAGAGGGACCTGTCAGGGTTTCAAGGCCTGAGGAGTGGGCTAATGTGAACTTCAAGTGCCAGGTCTTGTACCTGGGTTGGGGCAATCCCCAGTATCAGTGCAGATTGGGTGATGAATGGATTGAGAGCAGCCCTGCGGAGGAGGACTTGGGGTACTGGTGGATGAAAAACTGACTGTGAGCCGGCAATGTGTGCTGGCAGCCCCAAACACCACCTGCATCCTGGGCTGCGTCAAAAGAAGTGTGGCCAGCAGGTCCAGAGAGGTGATTCTGCGCCTCTGCTCTGCTCTGGTGAGATTCCCCCTGCAGTACCGTGTCCAGCTCTGGGGGTCTCAGTACAAGACAGACGTGGACCTGTTATAGCAGGTCCAGAGGAGCCATCCCCAATAATGACTGGAGGGCTGGAGCTGTAAGGAAAGGCTGAAGAGAGTTGGGGTTGTTCAGCCTAGAGGACTCTCTGCGGAGACCTTATTGTGGTCTTTCGATGTATAAAGAGGGCTGATTAAAAATAGAGACTTTTAGCAGGTCCTGTAGCAACAGGACAAGGCATAATGGTTTTAAAGTAAAAGAGGGTAGATTTAGATTAGAGATAAGAAATCAATTTGAGGCTGTGGAAGTTAGAAATGTTGCATGAGGAGCAGAGAGAATGTGACTGGGACCAGCTGGATGCTTGGAACAGCAAGTGGGTCTCAAGAGTCTCTAACCCAGTACCTGTAACTAGCAGCTCTGTTTTGACTCTCCCCATAAAATGCCTAAAATCGCTTCCGTTAACTGGAAAGGGATCCAAAATGGGTTGTCTATGAGGAACCCAAGTGTCCAAGGGAGGAACACTGCAGCAAGAGGCCACAGGGAAACTTTGAGAATCTTTTTCTAAAGACCAAATTACCTTGCACCAACTGTGGCCTTTACCACCGCACAAGGGAAAAAGACAGAATCAGTGCTCGCAGAGGACACTTGCTATTGCTCACTGATGGCAGGCAAGCATTCAGAAATCAATGGGGCAGAGTAAGAACCCTGAGATTCAGATTCATAGTGCTCACATGTTTAAGGACCGGGTTAAGATTTATAGATTATCACCTGCAGCCTTTTCTGACTTCTTGAATGTGTCACTTCAAGGTGCAGCTTTTTACGTTTGTATAAGTTAATGACTGTGTCTTCACGAACCTAAGCCTGTGTTCCAAACGTGCAAGTTGCAGAGGCAGCGCAGGAACAAGTGGCAGGCAGAAATGCCGAACAAGCGGTTAGCCAAGGCTTTAACTGCCTGCCAGACATCCCTGCAACAGACTCCCCAGCCGATTACAGCACACCACTGAAGGTCTGGATTTGGGCAAAGAAGAAATCAAAATCTTAATTTCATGGCTCTATCACTAGTGTGAGTCACGGCAAGTTTGGAAAAACTCTTCACTCCTGTCTCTTCGTAAAGCAGAATAATGCTGTGAAGCTTGTTGATGTTCAAAGTGTTAAAGAGATGGTGAAGGTATTATATAAATGATAAATACTTATTGTAAAGGCTTATGTAAACACTTTGAATCAGAACCATAACTTTTTCTTGTTTGGCTTATGTTACCTCAAACATAATCCTTTGAAATCTGTGTGTCGTATATATGAAATATACAGTAAATAAGCTCTATTATGATTCAAAAGAGCCTCATCTGGGCAACAACTCTGAGCCAGACAAAACTAAAAAGAGTGAGCACAGCCAGAATCAAAATTGCCTCTTCCCTCCCCTCAAGCTGACAAATCTTATGTACTTCAAGAGCAGCCTTTTTTTTCTCACTCCCTTGTTGTGAAGACCAGCGATCTATTTCATCTGCCTCAAACAAAGGACTCTTGAAAGATCTGCTCTTAAATTTATTTTCCGAGCCGTGGAGGCACACAATTACTGCTGTTGAGTCGTGGTTTGTGTGTTTAGATACTGGAAGGACACATGTACTTTGTCACTTTTACAGCATTCTCATGGAAAACTCCAGGACAGCCAGCATGTTCCCACCTCGGGCACTGCCCACCACTGGCTGTGGCGTCAGCAAGCCCAGCCTTGTTTAGGTGGTTACAGAAGCAAGCGGTATCTTTGCTAAGCTGGCAGCTGACTAACGTGCTGTGCTGCCTCTCGGGTGCTGATCTGCACTCAGTGAGATGGGGAAAACTGGAGGGAACTGGAGGAGGACCAAAACGCTGCCTGTGAAATGGCACCTAGTTCCTCCCACCAGCATTCCTTGGGGAGCACGCGATGGGCATGTGCCAACCCCCGTGACTGAAAAGATGAAACACTTCACCAGCCCAAGCAGAACAGGTCACAAGCGAAGCTTCGGCTGGGATTCAGAAAAGCATTTGCATGTACTTTGCTTTATGGGCAGTGTGGTGTAAGGCACCAGGATCTGTTGAGGGCTGCCCATCCCAGCTGTGGATTCAGTTCCTTCTATCACGGGAGAGGAAAGGAACAGTTGTTAGTGTAAGTTTGGCAGCACCGCAGTTGCAACCTGTTAACCCCCCATCGCTGTTTGGATTTGCTCTGTGCAAGATGAAAACGTTGCCATCAAGCACATTTTAAATGCGGGAGTCCAGCCTGAGAGACTGATGCAAAAAACCCTGTTAAAACATCTGCTCAACGTCAATTTTATTACGCCATGTTATAGCTGTATTGTTACACTTGGTGGTTCGACACACACTTCAGCATCCTGTAGGGCAACATCAGGGTCTGGTCGCCTGTTTAGCATGTTGACACCCAGTGTCTGTCCCTTGCTGAAGCTCCAGCTCTCTGGCACAGTCCCAGAGCTGACTTCACACTAACGTGGCAAGAGCCGGGATGTTGTGGGAACTTTCAGAGGTCCTGTGGATGACACGGTGGTTTCTGTCACTTCTGCTTCCAACGCTGCTTTTGGGACTGTGCTGAATCTTGGCCATCTGTTTCTGGAAGTCCCGGACGGTTCGGATAGCGAGAACACAGACCACAAAACTGGCAAAGTACAAACAGGCAGCAGCGACGCCAAAAAGGCCGACGGCTGCATCGCCGCCCTGGACCACGCAGTTCATGGAGGTGTAACCACGGCGCGCGTACAGCCTCTCGCGCCTCTTACAAACGTCTGTGGAGTTCACCTGGCTGACAAAATGCAGGTAGAGGCCAACAGCCACAACGTACGCCATGCCGGCCAGCACGCTGAAGGCACACTCTCCTGCCAGCAGCCCGACCCTGAGCTGCTGGATGGGCTTTGCCCCCACGACGAGGAAGACCAGGGTGAGCACCGCTGCTGTTAAGCTGAAGGCTACCCCGCCATACACGCAAGGGGCTCTCATCTGGGTGAACTGCATGTCCAGCTCCCTCACCTCCTGCAGCTCCGTGCCCTCGAAGGGGCTATAGGCCGAGTTCAGGCTAAAGGACCCGATGCCGAAGCCGCCGAGGGACGTGAAGCCCGCAACAGAGGCTTGGGCAGCGGCCACGCAAATCAGCACCAGCAGGTTCACCGTGATTTCCACGAACTTCAAAATGCCTGTCAGGAGCAGAAAGATGGGAATAGGTGTCAAAATCATGTCTTACGCAAACCTGGGGTGACAGAATCAAACCCAAACCATAGAGAAGGGCTGTCAGTGAGGAAGTCCTCTTGGCTACAGCTACAGAAGAGCGCTGCTCTAAAAAAGAAAAAAAAATGCAAGCTCTTGTGGGAACGTTTCTGAGGTTGGGCAAATTACTTTTTTTAATTTGTCAGGGTGCTTGATAAATGGATCTTCATGCGGGGAAAGAAATCCATAAAAATTTTACTGTGCTTGTGTTATTGCCAAGGCAAGCACGCAGTGATTGTATTTTGGCTTGTAACTACTTGGCATAAACACACTAAGCAAGAAATATCCAGCATGAACAAAATGCTGAGGTGAAAGCTGACAAAAATCTAGAAGCTTCTAATGGCCTAAAACATTGTGCGAATTATTCAGGTTCTTTAAAATGTGTTTACTACTTTAACTTACACCCTTTTTTTTTTGTCTAAGTGTTTGTTAATTTACACTTGTTATCTAACCAGATGTAACTTCATCTCCTTCAGAGATAAAATTCTCTTCATAAATCTGAAGAAGCAATTCCTGACTGCACAAAAAAGGAGGAGGGGAAGGAGGCAAAAAACACCTTCTAAGTGGAGGTAACTTAAATGAATTTGATATCGGATCACATGTTCTCTTCCACACCCCATCCTTCACGAGAAAGCCTTATGCCTGCGGAGCTGAGTCTCCTTTTTTTTTTTTTTTTAAATGTAATGCTACCAATAAAGGTAACCAACTTTTTAAAGGGGGGGGGAAAGGTGGATAAATTACTTCTTTTTGCAGTAGTTGCCTGTCAGGAAGGTGCAGCATGTGTTAGATAAATCTGATTATTCTGTGACAGCTCACTAGGGGTCAGACTAAGATTAGTAAACATGATGGATGTTGAAGCGTAGCATGGCTAGAGTTGCCTATTCGGAAAATTAAAACCTCTAGTGTTATCACGTGTGTTGCTCCTCAAGTTCTGAAGTTAATTACAGAATTGTGAATCTTATTATTCCATTGCAGTCCAACAGCCAAGAACACAAGATTTTCGACAAAGCGGCCCTATATTTGTCTTTAAAGTGGGGCAGGATCTGCATTTTGAATACAGACTTTAATTCTGTGCTGCTAACATTGATCCGCATGGCATTTTTCCTCTTGAGCAATGGCTCAGTTGCTGTCAAGGCTGTGTGAGCTTGAAAAGACAGGGCTGAAGCAGCACGCAAAGGAATTAAGACAAATTTCTCTCTTGTGTTGCCAGATGCTTCTAATCAAAGAAAGCCAGTGACAGCCACCATGAAGGATTATCGGATATTCCCGTCCTGCCCCTTCTTATTCTCCCCACGGAGGGCCGAGGTACCAAGCACCTTCCTGCTGCCACTTGCTCTTCAAGGGAAGGTGCTTGCCATGGTTTTAAAAGGGCCTTTGGCCACTTCAGGAGTTTCTGCTTCCCCCTGTACCCAGCCTGGTCCCCCTCAGCGCTGCTCATGCAGCTGCAGGTAGGTACCGAGCCCATTCCCATCGTGGCCTTGCAAGCCAACCCACAAACACAAAGCGGGCAGTGATCATGGTGGTAACACCTGGGAACAGAATATGTGAGGCTCAGCATGTTTCAGTCTGTGTGTGTGTGTGTACATGCACATGTGCATTCAGATATAGATTTCGTATCTCAAACACAATTTGGTAAAGCAGGCAGTTCTGTGCACGTGCAGTTCTGTGTACGTGTTCCTTAGGTGACGCTGATTTCTGCATGACAGGGTGACTTTTCCTTGACCTTTCCACACAACCATTTCTGTGAAGCAGGGCAATAACCACGCTGGTTACCAAACCTGTTCAGGAAGCTTCAAGCATTTCAAAGGAAGTATTTGTGAAGCTAAATGTAAAGAGAAATTTAAATCTTGGTCCATGAGACAGGATTTGGTACTCCTTGTACCAAATTCACACAATGCAGCCAAAAGACTCAACACTTTTAATGGCTACAGAGACATCACTTTACCCAGGACTCTGCAAAATATTTTGAAAGAACAGTAGCTGTACAGGACATTTACTGGAACTGGATCAGATATTTTTTTGTCTGCTCAGTTGAGCTGTACAATATGACTTCCAAATACAAAGAGTCAACTGAGGTCCTCAGGGCCCTTGGAAAGCGTTGGCCGCAGAAGGCCACTTCCCTTTTTAAGGGCCGACTACTGATTTCATAGATGCTTCATCAGGAAGTGGTTCTTACAAGCCTACAGGGAGGAAAGACAATTTGATTAAGGGAAACATAAATTTTAGATTTGTTTGGGAACTTGGAAGTTGGGAATTCATGACCAGTCAGCTTTCTTATTCTGCTGTCTTCAGAATTTCCTTTCTGTCTGTGACTGGTGAGGCACTCTAACCTGCTGACCAGTGACTTTTCCTGTACATCACCTTGCTGAGCCTTGGAAAAAGCAACTTTCTGTTGTCAAAGTAGTCAGCACCTGCTGCTAACCTCCCCACATTTATAACTGACCCCAATCCTCAATGACACTGCTCCAAAACTTCCTATATATCCACATAAATTCTGTATGCAACCCTTAACTTCACTGAGCCAACTGCTGGCAGAATGTGTCTCTTTGCTCAGGGGATGACAAATATGAACGACCTAGGTCTACTGTATTTTTAACTGCAGCAGTAGCTGCTTTTATGGCATCCTTGAAAAATTTCCTTAAGACAGGGCGTTCAGGTCAGACAGGTTTTGTGTGTACCTGTACAGTTTTCATACACACCTGCTGTAGAACTGATTAGAGTAACTAAACAACAGAGAGAGGTTCACTAGCAGTTACTCCACCAGTTATTTGCATCACAGGGATGAACATGTGTGTGTGTTGGGGTTTAAGTGCAGCCACAAAGCCTCCGGTATTAAAGAAAATCCTAAAATGATAAGCAGTATGTAGAACGAAGCTGTGAGTTACAGGTCCGTGATGACAGCCAGCAGGGTTTGTGAAACCAGCAGCTGTTTAGTGGAAATCCCTGGGGCCTTGTACAATCATCGGGCTCTGACAGAAATATTAGGCCCTACACTATGTTCAGATCTTGACCTGGATACCCCAAAAGCCTTGTGCAGACTTGATCTGTGCTAGTTACAAGCCGATACCCAATCCTACTACACTAGTATAAACAGGATGGGCAGACTTGAGAAATAAGGGATAAAACGACAGTTAAGTTTTGGATCTTGGCTCTGCCAAGGCACGCTCCCACACCCCAGCTAGCAGTGACCGATGTCAAGCAGCGCACGAAGAGCTGTGCTGTGGAGTCTGTGCTGCCCCCACTCCTGTCACGGGCCCGTTAGCTACACCAGCTCCCCCAGTTCCTTTCCCGTGCTCCCTTCCCGCACCGCTTTCCACCACTGAAGGTGAAGAGAATGGCTGCAATCTAAAAGGTAGTGGGCCTTGCCAGAGTTTTACACAGAATTGTTTTGTTCGTTCTATAAAATCTAAATCTGCAGCAGGGAGTAACTTCGAGGTAACGTTCTTACTAATTTTCTCTGAATCCAGACTTTTTTTGCTGTGAGTTGGCTTCCTGCTATAACAAACAGCAGCCTTCCAATTTATACTATTAATCTACTGTCCACTTTTTCTTTCCCTTCCAATCCAGGTGGATTCTGGGCTATTGCCATGGTATTAACTCACTGATCAATGGGTTTGTTTTCTGTCAAATGGTGGCCTCAGATGTCAAGCAAAGCAGCCAGGGTACACACCCACAGGCGGCTGACCTAGCGGCGCCTACCCTTGGCTGGGCAGGCACCACTTTTCTCCCCTGCCCAGCAGTAACTCTGGTCTAGCACTGGGCCCTTCCATGAGCTGTTTTAATAAATTAAAATGGCAGGAAACGATTCAACTCTTTTCTTGCATGCTGCTGTTTTTTCCTGCAACTTTAACAACTCGAAGTGACTCACAGCTATCTGATGAGCAATTGTGCTGGCATGAGTTTAGCAGGGGAAACAACACAGCCAGGAACAGAGAAATACCAGAAACTCTCCTTTCAGGTGAGGCAAGCTCTTAAACCTGCGCGCTCCGCCTCATAAAACTCCACCACAGCTGCCTGTGTGGTACCCAGTAACACAACCGTGTGCTTGAGTCTCACGGGTCGGAAGCTGCGAAGTGTCATTTTCATCCAGGCACCGCAGAAGGATGACCCCATGGTTCGGGCGTCAGGAACACAGTGTGTATGTGTGTATGTAAGGCAAAATGGCCAATTTACGTTTGTTTCTGCAGTTGACATGAACGAAGCTGCAGGGCTTGACTAATAGAGGAACATTTCAAAGTGTCTCACTTCACTGCGTCTTGGCACAGTAGTCACTTTTTTCTGCACACAACTCTTTCTCCTGACTCTTTTGGTATCATTACCTCAACATCCCTGTGTACTTCTAAGGCATTATTTATGTTTGCCCTTCTTCGTTCTGTCTTACTTTCTCCCTCTGCTTCCTCTGCAGGCCATGTACCACCGGGACCAGAGCAGCAGCACGTGGCTGCAGCCCCTGGGACCACTGGACTCCACGGCAGGGCAGCAGATGCACAGGTCAGTGCCGCATCCTGTCAGGAGATGCTCCAAGAGAAGGGGCAGTACGAGTGAGAGGCTACAACACACGTGTTAAAAACAATTCTCTCAGCCTTTCTCGTTGAAAGTTGTCTTTTGGTGTTTTTCCCAGTTTGAGTAGCTTTCTGCTTTTCAGAAGTAATCTTTTTTTTTTTCCAAAGGAGTAGACAAGTATTTTGACCATATATAGTGACTCACAAAAGCAGCAGTCAGTCCTGAAAAGGATCTCAAATGCTGAACTTCTCTTGCCATTGCAGGTTTGGCGCTCCCCAGAGAGTAAAGGCACAGCTCAGCACGCAGCTTTGGTCACCCCTCTGCGAAACTGCGTTGGCGGTGGGAGGAATAGATAAGGGCGAAAAGAGAGAAAATGCCAAAGAAAAGAGGGGCTTTTTTTCTGCATTTGGAAGGGGAAAAAATATGACAGAAGTGGGGAGAAACCAAAACAGTGGTGAACCGAACAAGGGAAATGAAATGGAGACAACAGTTACAATATATTAAAAATATTAAATCTGGATGCAAAGTATTAAAACATCTTGCTAAAGGTACTATTCCCTTTAAGTATAGCAGTACAAAGCAAGATCTTCCTGAAACCAGTAACAAGAATTCAGCCATCTTCAGGGATCCGGGATCAGAGCACTACACAGCTTTGCCGTAAACAAACAAATCCCCCCTAAGCCCCAACCCCACCATTGTTTTTGTAGGTCTCTGTGTTCTTTAGCCAGTCGTGGGATTTAGCTTTCACTGAGTTATGCTAAAATCTCTCTAACAGAGTAATGCTCAAAGGCAGGGAAAACCCAACCCAACCCTAAACCTCATGAGTTAGGCAATGTAACACCAACAGAATCTTGGCTTTTCAAAGGACCCAAGGGAATTACATATTCAGAGCCAAATGAATTTAAATGGCACATAAGTGGCCAACATACTTATGCTCATTTGAGATATCTGTCTTATTAGAAATTGATGGAAAAATAGTTAAAAACTGGGGGAAAAGAAATGATTTATGTGCTCTAGAAAGAAAACTTACTATTATCTTTTAATAAGTTGTCCCTCTTTAGTCAAGATAATCACTCTGTTAGGCAATCTCAAAGGACGACCAGCCTTGTTTTTAATGATTCAGAGAAGCCTTAGATTCACACTCGGAGTGCTCACATCCAAATGTATTGCCTTTTTTTTTTTTTTCTCTGTATCGTCTTCCCTGAAAGAATTACTGTCCCATCTGCTCTATTCCTTCTCCTTAATACCCTGCCATCCTCTAAACAGCACTCTCCAATTTTCACAGGAAAGGGTGGATTTAATTTGTAGATCTACTGCATCAGCCTTTATCCCCATAGTTTCTCACCACTGCGGGACACAAAGATTTACTTGCCATCAGGACACGGTTTCAATACAGCCCAGCCCCTGCCTGGGAACAACAGCTTTGGTTTATTTGTTCCCAGTAGTTCTTTAAAGAGTTACTTCTAGCATGTTCCTGATTTCTCTCCTGTTAACCGAGCACGAGTCACCTTCCATAATTTTGGAGAGGGCGGGAAGCAAAAGGTCTTGCGTTCAACTGTAGCGCTCGGCAAACCTGATTTAAATGCAATGGCTGTAAAAGGCTGCACCACGTATTTGTAGCACTGGTAGGTCTCTAGACAGTCACCTCACGTTCTGTGTTTCAGGAAAAGGCCTTTATTCTTCCTAGCGTATCCTTAGTTCTTTCAAGTAGTAAAGAAATATCTTGGTATCGAATCAAACTTGCAGGAGGTTCTTGTTTGTTTTGTTTGTTTTATTAAAAAGAATCCAGAAAACAAGGAAACACTCTTGTTCCTTATGCCAGCTTTCCACAGCCACTCCCTCCACCTGAACAGAAACTGAGCCGCCTGTAGAAAGGACAAAGATTGGGGTATTGTTGCTCTTTAAGCAATCACAGCCTAGCTGAAGGTAGGTCAGGTTGGAGGGACCTGAGAACCTGAGCTTCTCATTCACTTCACCAGTTGTGGGTTGTCACACCTGGTGAGCCACATTCCTGACAGGGTAGATTTTTATCCTTTAAGTGAGCTAAGGTCACCTGCTCCAGAAATAGAGCTATGTTCATCGAACACTCTGCTGTATCAATTAGCTTTGAGAGCCACCTTTTAAAGAGAAGAGCTTTTCTTCATTCACAGAGTTTGGGTCAGATGTGGGGAAAGCAAACCCAGTGGTCTTACAGGAGTGATGGTACAACTCCAGTTCTGTACTGGTAGAGCGCAAGCTTAACTAAGATCTCCCAGTTGGGAAGCACTGACTAGTCTCTAACGCACATCTAACAGCTGACATCAAATTTGCTGCTGTCTTCCCCTGCTAACATAAGTGAGTCTCCTCAGTTGTAGTTCTCCCCTCTCTAAACCCAGCAGTTTTTGTGTCAGCACAATGCCAAAAGGTGGATGGAAAAAAAAGTGCCATGAAGCTGTGGGCAGAGTGAAGTCACGTATGTGTTGGCAAGGCAACAGTTTGCTAAAGGTAACATTTGGCATCTACAACTAGTGCAGCTCCCCTGCATGTTTTTACAGCGCTAACTGCACGTGGTTATTTGTATTTCACACTAAACAGGACCTCCCTCCAAGTGAAACGCTTTTAACTTCAGAACAGGAGCGTTACCTGCAGCTCTGCCACTGTATCTTCTTACTGCGCAATTTTAATTAAGCATTTTGAAAAAGTGGGATTATTCTAATCTGTGCAGCTCCATCCAGTTCCCACTACTAATATCCTCTGTCTTCACAATTGCAAGATTAAAAAACTTGATGGCAAATTCAGTCTGTTAGTCACACTGTATTTAAGATAAATTTTGTAACGGATAGGAGGGGGAAGCCATCTAATTACGATGAGATTACAGGGGACCTTAGTGCTCCCTTCTTAAAGCAGAAACATGTTGAAATTAACTGCCATGGGCACAGCCCATGACAGCTCTGAGCACAATTTAAAGGAGCTGAGCACAGCAGACTGTAGGGGCAAATGTAAAGATAGTGACCACAAAATACAGTAGTTTCTAATCCGATTGGGTGCTTCCACGGAAAGGCAGGAATTCTGCTGACCGCTGCTGAAAAGATCTAACGTGCTGCTCAACGTGCTGGTCAAATGCTTCTTTTCACCCACAAAGATATCTGGGTTTAGAACATTTACTGACCCTTCGGTGTTTTTGAATGCACGTCACTCAAGCTACAGGAGGTCTTCTACTTCAGCCCGGTGCCTCTTGCAGCCCACTCTTCTCCCCCAGCACCTCCACTGCACTGGAAGGGGCACAAACGCTCTGCAAAACGCTTTTCCCTTCCTGTGTCTGACCCCAAGAAGAAGGGTGTCAGGACATAACAGAGCAACAAAACAGCAGCAGTGTAATGGGTATGAACAATGGCCTAACTCAAACCAAGTGTCTACTAGTGTGAACCCTGTGTTTAAGGGTCACTTTCTGTCTCAGTATTTTTTTCCAGTCTAGGAGTATTTGCCAGCATGCATAGCTACAGGAAAAAAGAAAAAAAAACCTTGACTATGTTTTGTAAAAACAAAAGCTTATAGATGTTTATATTTCAATTAATGCTGGCTTGTTAATGCATGAATATATCCTGGAGAAAGTCATTGTTACTCCCTAATTCCATTTCCTCCTCCAAATAAATTCAGTTTGATATTTCCTCCTGGCTATACTTGAAATTCAATACTTTTCTTGTTCTTAAAAACCATAATGATGTCTTTTTCTGAGAGGAAATTGGTTTGAAGTTTTTAACAATTGTGGATGTTAGAATGTAGGCTAAAGGCATGATTGTTTGGAAGTGCCTACAATATGCTTAAGAAATCTGACACTATTCATGGTGCAGAGCTGTATTCATGGCAGCAAAGAACAGGGATTCAATTATACTCGCTCCCCCCGCCAAAACTGTTTTCTAACCTTTTTTGTGCTGGCTCCCTTAAATGCCAAGTGGGTTGTAGAACTGAAAAAAATATTTTTTAGGTCGGAAATTATGTCAAGCATAGTACAATTCTATCCATACACTGCAGAAGTGCTGGCGCCTCCTGGGTCACACAGTGACCGAAGATGGGAGAAACTTAGTTTACCTACACTGTTTAAGCAAAACAAAAGGGAACATTATCCTGGAATTGCACTGCTCTGCCTCTTTCACAACAATATGCAAAGTAAAAAGAAAAGTTTTCTTCAAGGTCAAGTGACCAAATATCTATGATCAATTCAAGATCCACAATTCACTCTTGGGTTCGACTCAGATTTTGCCCTCTCTAAGGTGAAGGAAGCCTTCAACGCTTCTTGCATTCCCTCTGGTAACAAAAAGCACTGACTCTGATTATATATTCAAAGGAGCTGAGGGGAGTCCTTTGAAAGGCAAATATGATGACTCATTTAGTTTTTCTACGCAGAAGAGAGATCTAGAGAAATTTTACCTGTCCTGTGAAAAGCAAGTTTATTTCTTCCTTACGAAACAATTTCAGCTCCAAGTATCCCCAGGCAAAAAAACTCTTGTTGTTGTCAGCATGTGCTGCTTTAAACGGCATGTGCTACTGTGCACAAGTTGTAAGAAACAGTTACTGCAAGCAGCAGTTCTGCAGTTGATGGAAGGTTTGTCTTTATTGTGAACAGTTTATTT